CTGAGTATTTTTTTTTTTTATGGCTTAGGTGGATGGACGTCCTCACAGCCCACCTGGTGTTAAGTAGTTACTGGAGCCCATAGACATTTACAACGTAAATGTGCCACCCACCTCGAGATATAAGTTCTAAGATCTCAGTATAGTTATTATATTAATCAAGTAGTATTAACATTGGCAAGTATAAGAACACGCGCATCATAAATGAATTTCAAGAATACGATGGGGAAGTGTTACTATTGTACGTCTTAAAACGATTATCAATCTAACTGTTTCATGTTATCCAGAGCACAATATTAATTCAAAGAAAAGATAAAGCTCTATAATACTCGTAATGTATTAAGCGCTTGTATTTTTTGTTGCCATATAAAGCGTGAAACATTTTAACGTAGAATACAATCAAACGAAAGCTGTCAAGGATCGAAAAAAAAGACTACGAACATGGAACGAAGAATTCTAAAACGTTAAACAAAGAAAACAATATCCCTTTTCGTATACTGTGATATGTTTGCCGTTTACTTCAAAACGAATAATTGATTGTGATGCTGGGAGACACTTCATTTTTTATTTGTTCGCAGATTTCGCTTTCCGTTTTGATTAAATTTCCTTCATGTATTCGTAACAGATTCGTACGTTGCGAAAAACGGAAAAATACGTAATGAATATTTTCTATATATTTAAAGACTGGCTTTTGCCCGCGACTCCGTCCGCATGGCATAACTTGCATACTTTGGCATAACGCTAAATTTTACACCCCCACTTCATTTGCGTAGAAAGTGAAAATATTTTGAAACATTCTTTATTGGTGCTCCACTTGTATTGGTCTTACCGTGATGTTGTATATAACCTATAGCCATCGTCAATAAATGGGCTATCTAACACTGAAATATTTTTTCAAATCGGACCAGTAGTTCCTGAGATTAGCGCGTTCAAACAAACAAACTCTTCAGCTTTATAATATTAGTATAGATTTTATTTCTCGGTTACATTTATTTTAAATCGGGCGCCTTTGGATACTGGGTAGCTACCGGTAGCTAGCTTACATACTCACTACAATAAGGGTGTAATGCCAATTTAGATATTTAAAATTCAATATCGATATACCAATACTGTTCTTCCACTTCGCAGCAGAAATTGGCTGAAGTTGGAGGCATCAAACCTCATCACGAAGGCATCGAATATCGAATGAATACTGAATAACTAAAGTGGAAAGCTGAGTCAGGAATTATTCGTGACACAAGAAGCCAGTTTGTGCCAAGTGCCTATTTCATCAGTCTTTGGGACCGATTGAGCATCAATATTAAAGTCAGAGATTAAAATTTGGGTCAATTGACAAACTTAAAGATAGGAAACTAATTTAATACTCTGCAATTAAAATGTCACATTGAAGAACGGTTTTGACGTTCAAAAAGAAACCACAGGTTCGTATTACGCAGTACTCGTAGGTCATTCATTATGACGCAAGATCGCACTAACTTGTAACTATACTTGAGACCTTAGAACTTATATCTCAAGGTGGGTGGCGCATTTACGTCGTAGATGTCTATGGGCTCCAGTAACCACATAACACCAGGTGGGCTGTGAGATCGTCCACCTATCTAGCAATAAAAAAAAATAAAAATTCGGATGTGTACTACATTGCAGTCTAGTCTAAACTTAGTACTGAGTCAATTTATTCTCCAACTAAGCCGGCGATAGTCAGAGCTAATCAATATTGCAATTACTGTACCCCAGTGCGCACAGTCTAATTAAGTCTAAAATCAGACAGCAAATACGGCATTAACCGCAACAAATTGCGTCTGACATATGAACAGAATAGATATTTAATGGAAATGTTACTAGTAAGTATTCTAGATAAGCAACATCGTTGAACATCTACAGCAAATTTTGCAGCAAGATTTTTCGGATAACAAATGTAAAGAAGGGAGGAATAGACGAATAAAAAATACACAAGGAAACGTGACGAGAATCTATATTCGTATTCTATTCGTAAATTAACTACAAAAAGCGCGTCATTCGCAATTCATGAATGCGCCGACATGATTTTATATCTGAAAATTGATCTACAAGAAATTACTCTACAGGCTTGCAAAATTGTTTGACATGCAATTTAGACGAACAAACAAGATACTGAACCGATTGAATATTAAAGTTAGATTGTAAATTTGTAAACTGGGAGTATATAATGATGAACTTCATTAGGCGTATCAACGTGCTCTTATTACGGACACAATCGTGAACGTGTTCGCATAAAACGTGCTCCTTTATTTTAAAACGGCACGCGAGTTACAGAGGTAAGGAGGACAAATAAAGGTTTCAATTACGAAGACATAAATTCTCATTTTGCCGAATCGAGATACGTGCATTTTGTTTTAAATTACAAGTTCCGAGCAAGTCTGCTGTACAGATAACGGTGGAAACAAAACAATGGAAGACTACATTAAGATATTTTTTTACAATAAATTTTCCCGCTGAAACAATCGTTTTCGTATCGTAAATTTGAATTGTGCTTTATTTTGTTACTGTGCACACTCCTGGCGAGACGTTTTCCTTGGGAAAGGAAACATTCAGTAGCATAATCTACATAATCAGCTTTGTCTGTGTCTAAATCCGATTTTAATGAACACTGTCTGTGTGATGTTGTTGAAGCCAAAATTTGGCGCAAAATATCGATTCATCAGTAAATTGGAAGCCTCGTCCCGTCGCCTTCTGATAAGCTAGGTGTAGTACCTATTAAACCGAACGTGCCTGGGAAAATTATTCGAACAGCACGACTATGTATACAGACATTGTGCGGAAACATCGCATAGACCCCGAAATCTTGTTTCGGATTATATTTGTAGCTCTCACCAATTTCACTAATGTTTAGGGAACTCAATTATAGATAGTTCACGAGTTTCACCGTTCAGATGACGATCTAGTGAGGATTACGAAAGTATTAGTATGAATAATTAAATATCGATCGTGCTCGTTCGAAGCATTGGAGGTTGCGTATTTTTACACAGCGACTTAAGGACAGCTTCAATGTCACATACAAATATGTGTAAACACATACGTGTATATGATACACAAAAGTTACAGAGGCAGACTTGAAATATTTTATCAAAACAGGGGTTTCTAATTGAGATCTTTTAATGAATTTCCAATTGGTTTCCCTGCGTTGTTTCAATTCCTTTTTCAGATCAAATGTAACAAGATAGTGCGTTAGCAGCCGTAGAGTGTAGCAAATGTAGTAATGGTGAGTGATTACCGTCGCCTATGGACGTCAGCAATGCCAGGGGCAGAGCCAAGCCGCTGCCTACCGTTAAGTACTCTCCACAAGCCTCATTTGAAAGGCATATAATGACGCTTGAGAAACATCGTGAGGGGGGTAGGAGGAGCACATTCCAAAGCCGGATAGTACGTGGCAAAAAAGATCGCTGGAACCGCTCTGTGGATGACCGCAGTGGCTCCAGGTAGTATAGATGAACTCTACTTCGGTGGCGGGCGGTGCGATGGTAGACGCGAGATGATGGGATCATCTCAAATAATTCCTCAGAGCACTCCCCATGGAACGTACGGTACAAAATACAAAGAGAGCTGAAGCCCCTCCGGAGACTCAGAGGTGGGTTGTTGGTTGTTGTTGTTGTTGAAGGGGATGGTGTGGATATCCGTGAGAACGGGATTATCAACAATCCGAACAGCCCTCTTCTGTATGGAGTCAAATGGAAGTAGCTGGTATTTGGGAGCCCGGCCAAGAGATGGGAGCAGTACTCCAAGCGAGGCCGGACATGTGCTTTATAAAGCAAAATTATTTGTCCTGGCGTGAAGTCCCACTTTGCTCTGTTGAGGACTCCCAGCATTTTGGATGCCAACTTGGCTTTGCCCTTCAAACGATTCCGAAATTGCAAATCGCTCAAAAAGTCGACCCCAAGTATACCAATACTAGTGGAAGGTTGCAGGGATTCCCCTTGGAATTGTGCGAATATCTCATTTAAAACTGTACGTCTTAAATGGTTGGAAGAACTCGTTATTGGATCTGATGGAGAAATATTTTATTGAAATTACTATGTACCAATATACGATATACAAGCTTTTCAATAAAAATATTTTATTAAACAAAGTGTTAGAATTTTTACTTATTATTATACTCTTCTTAATTTCTTTCTAAATAAAATATATTTCAGAATATTTGACGTACCTGTACAATAATTTTCTTTCAAAAAGACATTTGACTTACAGGTTTATCATACAAAAGAGAAATACATGCAAAGACGTCAGAATCAAATCGAACGATCCTTAGGTCCATAATGTGGAAAGCAATTATGATTGCTCACCACCATCACACACGTCATATCATTGCGCAAAATGTAATTAATATATCCAGAACAATCTAAGTTTTTGCACAGAACAACAACAAAATATTTAAGTATTGGTTAATATGGTTTTCGCGTGCTAATGATATAGAACTCGTATAAGTACGAGTACCTACGACTACGGGTATGTATACACATGACGATGTTTCATATTTTACTTAGAAATGATTCATTTAGTCGGTACTTTATGTCACGACGAATAATAAATTTGTAAGAAATTGTGAATAGAATATTTAATGAACCTTAATTTAAACATTTTTCAGGTTTTTACCAGCACATTATCTACAAACATGCAAAAAACGCCCGGTGTACGACGGGGCATCACTTCAGAACAGTTCGATCCTTGACAAGACAAGGTTTGTTGTAAGTTTTTTTTTTAAATCCACAGAACAATTATCATACAATTAGAGAGTCACCGCTGACCGCGATTTGTTTAACGTTCTCGATAGCGTAAAAGTTAACTCACATTTGCATGGAATGAGATCGTTTGCCTACGTTTGCCGCTAGGGGCGCTGTTCCAACTGCATACAAAATTGTGTTAACTTTTACGCTATCGAGAACGTTAAAATTATCGCATTAAGCACACTGATTCCGCTATTTACTATATAGGCTGTGAAATATAGTACTTTATTGCTAACTAATACTTACAGTTGAGGCCGAGGTCATGATAGGTTATGATGGCGGGCTTGTTACGGTCTCCTTGCACAGCGACGAGGATGTCGCCGCGGTCAGTGCGCACCCGCACCTCAGTACAAGCGGCTTCTCCACTAAACCGGCGAGCACTCGGGAACTGCAGTTGGATGTTGCGAAGTTCGATGTCGTCCATACTGCCAATATACAACAAACTATTGAAATAGTCACTTTTTTTTCCTCCCTATGCTGATAGCCTTGAGAGGCTATATCAGCGTCGCTTTAACTAGTAAGTGAGCTCACGGGGCTCAAACCTGATGACGTTGCTAACACGAACCCTAGCAAGAGCCGTGCTTCGCAGTATCTACCACCGGATCGGAAACGCGACTCACTGAGAAGATCCGGCGAGAAACTCAGTGGGCTGTGTCTGAGGGTTAATTTACTCGTCGAGCCCTTCGTTGCAAGCTACGGGTTCGACAAGAACGATGACCGGGAAATAGTCACACTATCTCTATAAAGTATGGGAACGTCGGTTATCACCTACGATTAAACCAGGTATGTCAACGGTGCATGCTTTTGAGGCCGCACACAAAGAATCATTCAGGTATACTCAATGATTTACTGAGGATTCAACATTTCTGATTCCATTATTTTATTTGAACCGATTATACCGATCTCTAACAAAACGTTATACTTTTCAACGTGCGATGTTGTTCAACTTAGGCTATGTTTTCCTAAATTTACTTTGTTTTACATATTTTATTTCTTTTGATCTTTCATTTAATTATTTTATTTGACAGTATTTGCAGGTAAATATGTTTTTAAGAATAAATACAAATTACAGAAGCGTCAGTGCAATAAAAAATCCTTACTAAAGGTGAAACATACAATGATTGAGACTCTAGTTCTCATACAATCATCGACACTGAAACACAATTATTAACAATTGAAATTAGACGTGCTGTTTATGTTTACTACTACTATTTATATTATGTAACTGAATGTCATAACAGATGTTATAGAATAACGGCAGAAAGGCATTTTTAGGAAAATCAATTACAAAAATAAAGGTTTTGTCAATTTTTAAAAATTAATAGCAATAGGAAGACTTATTTTTTCGGTATTTTCAAATGTTAATCACTTAGGAAACCCCATTAAAATTGGTAACTATAATATATAGTTACTAGATGATGACCGAACGTTGCTCGGTTTTTTTTTTGATAACGCCATCTTGTTGTGTCTTTAAAGCAGTTAGTTGCCTTCAATTAAGAAAAATAGTATTATTATTCGCCAATAGATGTCGGGAAGACTTGATTATTGAAAACACGAATAAAACAACATTGTCAGACAAAATATCGTAGCTAGATCGATTTATCACCCCCGAAATCTTCTATATACTAAATTTTATGAAAATCGTTGGAGCAGTTTCCGAGATTCAGATTATATATACATATATATATATACAAGAATTGCTCGTTTAAAAGTATAAGATTTGGGTATTAGATTTTTTTCTTTTGTCATTGTAGAGTAAAATAAGTTTGCTTTCCCAAACCCTTTGATTAAAATAAAACAGAATAGAACCAATGGAAAAATCTAGCTATTTAAGTTTCCCCTAATCAAATCGTAAGTTTTCGTAAATGAATACATGGCGCTGAAATAATATAAAGAGCTTCACGAGTCACAGATCTCGCCCACTGCAAACGAAGACAAAGACGAACGCTCTTGAATTTCTAGAAACGTATTTAAATGCATAGTTAAAGTCACTGCTGTGTTACATTCCATTTAAAGTTGAAACATTTTGAATTGCAATTTTTATTATATTCACGATCGAGACAAAAGCTTCCATTCAATGGTAACGGTGATTATTTGAAACGAACGACTCAACATGTCTTTCTGGAAACATTCATAATTCTCCTACTGGTGGTAGGACCTCTTGTGAGTCCGCGCGGGTGGGTACCACCACCCTGCCTATTTCTGCCGTGAAGCAGTAATGCGTTTCGGTTTGAAGGGTAGGGCAGCCGTTGTAACTATACTTGAGACCTTAGAACTTATATCTCATGGTGGGTGACGCATTTACGTTGTGGATGTCTATAGGCTCCAGTAACCACTTAACACCAGGTGGGCTGTAAGCTCGTCCAACCATCTAAGCAATAAAAAAAAGAACTTTAACAACGAAATTAAAATTATTAACGAGTGAACATTTTTATTTTTGCAATACTTATTTATAGGCTATTTATTTATTAAAATTGTTCAAAACATTCAATCCGTCGTAAAATCTCCATCTAGTTCCTCGAAAATTAATCTGCACGTTTCAAAGCCAGAACTTCCGTCCGTCAACTACATAATGGTTGTTGAATCGTAAATGATTGAAAAATTCTAGGCCTTTTCTAGTGCTCTGAATATTTAATACATTTCGGAATGTTTACTCTCAAAACCGAAGTATTTATATTTGAATTATTATTTATGTTTTGAATATTTAGTTCAATTTTTTGTACGGAACATAAAATATTATTTTTATCATTAATGGAATTTATATGTATTTCGATATTGACAACAGTGTTACTTTTTGATGACACTGAAAATCTGCTGAGAGTTCCGTATTGAAGTTAAAAGTTCATCATTCACCTCACGCAACTGTAATTTGGCTTCTTAATCTAGACTATTCTAGACTTTCCATTCAGTATTTTAAAAAAAACTAGAAACACGTACACAGATACAGTAATCAAAACGACTACAGAAGCACCTGGCATGACACTGAAAATCTGCTGAGAGTTCCGTATTTAAGTTAAAAGTTCATCATTCACCTCACGCAACTGTAATTTGGCTTCTTAATCTAGACTATTCTAGACTTTCCATTCAGTATTTTAAAAAAAACTAGAAACACGTACACAGATACAGTAATCAAAACGACTACAGAAGCACCTGACATGACACTGAAAATCTGCTGAGAGTTCCGTATTTAAGTTAAAAGTTCATCATTCACCTCACGCAACTGTAATTTGGCTTCTTAATCTAGACTATTCTAGACTTTCCATTCAGTATTTTAAAAAAAACTAGAAACACGTACACAGATACAGTAATCAAAACGACAACAGAAGCACCTGACATGACACTGAAAATCTGCTGAGAGTTCCGTATTTAAGTTAAAAGTTCATCATTCACCTCACGCAACTGTAATTTGGCTTCTTAATCTAGACTATTCTAGACTTTCCATTCAGTATTTTAAAAAAAACTAGAAACACGTACACAGATACAGTAATCAAAACGACTACAGAAGCACCTGGCAACAATAATTACTTTTTCAAAACACCTTTAGAGCTAATATTAGTAAAAACAGCTAGAAGCGCTTTAAGCCAACCATTTTTTTTTTTTTTAATGAAAGGATTGCACTAATAACGCCCCACTTTCCCATTGTTTGCAGCAGGCGTTCTTTTCAAAGAAATGTTCCGCGAACGCATAAAGTAAGCCTACGAGAACTGAATAGAATAGGCCTAAATAACCCACAATAATTACAAAACTTTCTTTAAGTACGCTAATAAAGGAATTCTACACAATAATTACAGATTATTACTAGTTTTTTTTTTTTTCTTTCAGATATATCTATGAGCAATATTCATTATTCCATACCCAAAACCTTAAATTCATGTTAATTAATAAAATACGTTTCGAAGCCAATTAAGCGCGGAACAGGGGGGTTGTGGAAATGAATATAATAAAGCTTTTGTTTGCCGAGTAACTTGGACTGTAAAGAAACCGCCTGAATACTCAAGAGATATTACATAAATTAGATTTATGTACGTTGAACGTTTACATTCATTTTACTATGCAATTTATCTTATTATATTACATTACAATTACATTATATGAATACCTAACCCTGCGAATCAAATTATCTAAGTATTTCTTTTAATTGGATTAGGAGCGAAATGAGGCCGCGATGTCCCCCGGCGTACCTTTATACATCGCGTCAACTAATGGGTCGAAGGCAATACGTTCCACAAGTTCATATGAGAATACTTCATTACCAACAGAACTCAATTGGTTGGTGGGTGTAAAACTAGTGATTCATATTAGAACTCATTAGTGATTCAGACTGAACAATAGAACTTATTTGGTAACAGAAAAATAAATCAATGTAAAAAAAAAAGATTTCTTGTCTTTTAACGGCAAAATTAAACATAGCCATATTTTCAAGCAGTGTATACGGTATTATTGAAAATAGTCCAGCAGACATCCCTGTGAATATCGGTTATCGATGAACACCGAGAACCAGGGAGTGTGTTTTTGAGAGTTTGACGCAATGCCGATATTTTTTCACAAATTTATAAGTAGTTTTAAACAAAACGAGAATACCTCAAAGGAATATGAATAATGGAAAGTAAACGGTATTAAAAATATGTTGAAATAGGAGCCGGTCGATTCCGTTTCCAGATGCCCTCCCCACACGCGGGGTACAATCGACCCAGCGTCTTGGCAGGCCGCCAACAGTGGAGACCTACTACAACGTCACTTTCAATTTGGGAACAAGTGTACCAAGTACGAGTTGAACCATTCGCCTCTATACTTTACTTCTTATTGTGCACATCAACTAATATTATCAGCTGCGTCTCAAGCATTTGCATTTACATTAAAACCACACTTCGTGAAGATTAGCAACTTATTTTGAGCTCACTCACTAAGCTTTTATTTTTGAGGCACTACAATAATTAAATCTCCGTACGAACAACTCACCAAATATTGGACTTTTTCAGAAAAAAAACGTCTAATGATCATTACTAGATTTAATTAAATTTACTGTTACGGTTTAATCTCGCTTTTTTTTTCGTTACATTAATTTCGACCTTTCGAACAATTTCATTTTAGTGCTCACGAACGAATCTACAACGCGCGACTAACTAAAGAAAATAACCTATGTTAGTTTTATAAATTAAAAAATTTAATTTCCTTTTTTTATTATAGGTTCTAATTATCTTAGAATTAATAGTTGTTGAACGATATCGCTTTATAACTAACGTTACATACATCCGTTTCATTATTGTATTCTAGGAATTGTAACGTTGTCGTGTTATTTTCGTTTTTGGCATTACAATAAAATTAACTTAATATGCAGTAATAAAAATTTGGTTACTAAACGGTGCAAGCCGTAAAAATATCAATTACTAGCACAAACTTCGAGGATTCTTGATAATAAGTCCAA